TATATATATATATATATATATATATATATATATATATATATATATTAATTTATATTAACTGAGATTAATGTATGTTAATTGATTATTGAATCATATGAATCTATATGTTCGATTATGTGTTTATGTGAATCGTTCGTTGAGCATGTTAATTATTTGATTTAATTTTTCGAGCATGCTATGATGATTCAATTTATGTCATTTAAATTAATTATATATGCGAGCATGTTTGTCGGTGATTGGAAGCGAAAATGTACGCAATTAATTGTAATTATTGTGCACGTGTTTGTTTATATAAATTAGTTTATATAAATAAAATAAATTTTGTTGTTTTCCGCTGCGTACACGTGCTCGATCCCCAACAAAAACATAATTACATTGTTGATAACAGTCACATTACTTATACATCCAGTAAATCCGCGTATACATTCAATTATGCTGCCAATGACAACAACATTATATAAACACTTGCAAACAAACATAGCAAAACATAATTATACTGCTAATAACAGTCAAATTACATAATCAACAAGCGAAATAACATATACATTCAATTATACTAGCAATAACAACAACATTATATAAACACTTTCCAAAAAAACATAGCGTGAAAACAAATATACACAAAAAATCTAAAAAAAAAAAAAACACATTTATGCAAACATACACTGAACGCCCATACATGATGGTGTTCAATTTAGTACAATTCAAACTATACATATCTCGATGTTGACATTCGTAACTTAAAAAAGCATTCGCATGCACATCAAAAAATTTGACACACTTTCCTTGAAAATTATACTACACCAGATATGATAGGCGATAAAAGCTGGAGAGGACGGCCGGATAATAGCGAGACCCGACGTGAAATATGTAGATTCAGTTCCGAGATGCAGAGGTACATAGAGGAATTCGGGAGAGAAGAGAGAAGAATCGCGCATAAAACATGAAAAACGGGCGTAGGGCTTTCAATTTTCAGCTTATATACATCAGTAATTATGTTCGGAAAAATACTCTTGCCTTGATTTTAATAAACTTTTATGTAGTGGGTTTTTTTACAAGACAAAAAAATTGAATGTCCTTTTTTTTAATTAAGTCTATGTGTCATGGTAGACACAGCCACGGGCCAGGTCAGACCCGCCGGGTCCGGGTCCGAGTCCGAGTCCTACTTTTTTGGGACCCGAAACGGACCCATGTGGAGGCGGGTGCGAGTTCAGGTTGGGTCCACTCGGGTCCTTTCGGGTCCAGGCCGGGTCCGGGTCCAAAACCGGTTTTTTGATTTTTTTTTTTTTTTGAATCTTGATCGTTGGAAAAAAAAATAATTCAATCAGACCGTGTCCGGGTTGAGTCCGGGTGGACCCGAGTTTCTAGCCGTTGAAAACAAAAAAAATTAAAAAAAAATTGAATTTACGGACCGGGTCCGGTTTATAGCCGTTGCATTTTCAAAATTTAAAAAAAAAATATGCTTTTATTCGGGTGGACCCGACGGGTCCTCGGGTCCCCCCGCTGGGTAGATCCGTCGGGTCTCAGGTCCAATAAATCAAGACCCGAAACTGACCCATGTAAAGTCGGGTCCGGGTCCGGGTCCAAGGGGTGCGGATTGGTTCCAGGGCGGGGCGGGTCCAAATCCGGGTCGGGTTCAGGTCCAACCCGGCCCGTGGCCGTGTCTATGTCATGGGTCTATTTGCCATTTACCCCATACTTAGACCTCAGAAGTGACATGATGCGTTGTTTGGTTTTATTACAACAAGGAATCTCAACTTCTATATGCAGGGGCGCATCTAGACAATATTGTAAGGGGGCGATTTTATTTGGAAATAATATATGTAGGTAGGTTAATTTTTCGGGTGTTCAGGGTCAGCATCCCCAGGTTTCTTTTAGAGTTATCCAAAAAAATTGCTAAAATTAGTATATATTTATAATATTTAGTTAAAAACTATGAATTTTAGTTGTATTATTTTATATTGTCATAAATATAAAAAAAAATATATTTAAATTTACACAAGAGAATAGAGAAGAACTTTTTGGGGCTGGCAAGAACACATATTTATAAATATTATGCCAAAAAGTAATTAAAAAGATTGACTTTATTTTTTTTCGGAGAAGCGGTTGCCGGGAAAATTACATTTTTCGTCCTCATACTTTACCCACTTTTTCAAAATTGTCCCTAAACATTTTGGAGTTACAATAGTAGTCCTTAATCAGGTCATTTTTTGTCAGAATTGGTCCACCGTTAATTTTTGCCGTTAAGTTGGATGGAAAATGGCATGTGCCTCTCACATGCCTTCAATTTACAACACTACATGAAAATGGACTTTCAACAAAACGCATTGCGTCTTGTTAAAACAAATTTTTCATAATTAAAACTTAATTGAAATTCGAAATTATATAAATTCCAAAAAAACAAAATCGATATATATTGTTTTAAATTATTTTGAGAAATATTCTTTAAACAATTGAAACATTGTTTTAAAAAATGAAATATTGCTTTCAAAATCAAGATTTTCGGAATTCAAATGAAAACATTGTTTCAAAATAAAATAAAAATTCGATCCGAATAGGTGGGATAAGAAACCTCCATTTCATTCTTCACCCTAATTTAATAATGTAAAACTCGATAAATTGTTTCAAAATATTTTTAGAAGCATTGTCTAAAATAATAATATAATGGTTTAACACCGGAATTTCTTGAATCCAAATTAAAATTATTGTTTTAAATAAAATAAAAATCTGATCATAATAGGCGGATGAAGAAAACTCCGTTCCAATTTTCACCCTTATTTAATAATCTAAAACTCGATATTGTTTTTTAAAATAAATTCAGAAATATTGTTTAAAAAATCATAATATTGTCTAAAAAATAATATTGTGTTTTAAGATCAGAACTTTTGGAAATTGAATGAATATATTATTTTAAAATAAAATAAAAATTCAATCAAACTAGGCGTGCATAAGAAAAATCATTTCCAATTTTCACCCATATTGAATGATTTAAAACTCGACATACTGTCTCACAATTGAGATTTTTGGAATTGACTAAAGGTGAAAATTGAAATGGAAATTTCTAATTCCCCAATTCCTATGAGGTTTTTTATTTTGGTTTGAAACGATATATTTTAATTGAATTCCAAAAATGCCGATTTTGGTACAATATTTTAAATTTTTAAACTATATTTTTATTTTTTAAATCATATTTCCGAAATGAGTTGATTCTTTGGAATTTACGTGATTTTGATTTTATATCAAATTTTAATTAAAAATAATAATTATAAAAAATATATTTTAACAAGACGCAATGCGTGTTGTTGAAAGTCCATTTTCATGTAGTGTTGTAAATTGAAGGCATGTGAGAGGCACATGCCATTTTCCATCCAACTTAACGGCAAAAATTAACGGCGGACCAATTCTGTCAAAAAATGGCATGATTAAGGACTACTATTGTAACTCCAAAATGTTTAGGGACAGTTTTGGAAAAGTGAGTAAAGTATGAGGACGAAAAATATAATTTTCCCGGCGGTTGCCCCTTCCTTGTTACACCATTGTCTATAATCTATATGTCTACATCGATGTGTATTCATCATCATCTTCTAAGTTCTAACTTCAATTACACTTCTGTCGTCGCCGCTGCAAATGGTCTCGCCGGAGACGCCACCTTCTCATTTCGTTCAAGAACTCGGTCCCCACTCCCTAGCCTGATGAAATCCCCAAGATGCAAACCACAACAGCCACACCCACCTGCAACTTCCACGATGTTTCTAGCAAAAACCAAAATCTTAAAAAATCACTTGTACACATTCTTCTATCTCCACCATTGTCCCGTGCCAACCAAAATCTTTAAAAAAAATATCAATTATTTACTCGCTAATTTCATTTCATCAATTCTAACAGGGATTGGAGAAAAAAAAAAAAAAAAGAGGGGGGGGGGGGGGGGATTTCCGTTGAAGAAACATATAGTCTTGAATCTCTAGTATTCATACTGGTTTGAATATGGAGTTTTGACAGCAAAAAAACCTTCGACGAAGGCAGATCTGAAGTTTCTATTGGTATTAACATAATTAGAGAAAAAAAATTAATTGGTGCGCCGTGCTTCTTGCTTGATTCCGGCACCGTAGCATCCGGGGGAGCTAACGTCGGCGCCGGAGGAGAAGAGTAATCTGGTGGTGTCGCCGCCTGGGGAGATGGAGACGGTGGCGAAAGAACGACGGCGGCTATATCTGTTGCACTCAGTCCGGCTGAGAGAGAAGAAATAGAATAGGAATTTAAGAAATTTCTAAAATTTGCAATTTGATCCAAAATATTGGATTATTTATATTTGAGCCCAATTGAATTTATATTTATTTAAAAAAAGAATTTCAGGGGGGTAATTAAGACTTTTCGTATACAAAATCAAAAACAAGCCGCACTAACTACGCGTGCATTACACGATTCGCGGATAAGGGGGTGAGTGCCTTTGACTTGTTAACATAAGGGGGTACATGCTAATTGTTTTTTACATAGGGACTTTTCCGGCAATTAGACATTTCACAGGGGTAGCGCTTGCTAAAACCTCATTTATTTGTATAGATTTTGTAGAGTATAGGTTTGGTGATAGACGAAGAAAGAAGTGATTTGATTTTTAACATTTGTTATAAATTTGGTTTGTTCGAAATGCCTAAATTGGCATCCTCAGTTTACCGACCAAGTGAACACCCCGACGTTTTTTCCCGACATAGGGAAGATTACAGCTATTCGCAGGTGCAAAAATACCAATTGAACGGAACGCCTAAAATTTGAAACTACTTCACACAAGAACTTTAATACCAAATATCATCGAACCTGTACATGGGTGAAATTCTGCAACATGAAAGTCAGATATATTAGAAAATATTGACGTCGAAAATTTTCAGAAAATTAAAATAAAATCAAAATAAATCCTTAAAATTACTCCAATTTTTCATCTTCCAGCAAATAAGTTTACCAATTAATGGGGAGATAAAGTTAGAAATTAAGAGGATATACGAGTATTGTGATTTGTGATGTAGGATCATCAAAGTATAGAATAAAGTGACCGATAATGGTCACACTAAGGTAACATGATAGATACAAGAAACATAATATAATTATGCATACAATACAAGTTCATATTTGGTTATTTATGATAAGGAACAGCAATTAGTGGTGTTTCTTTCCTCATGACAATCCCAAATTTCTCCGACAAGTCAATCTTATGTCCCTCCGGCAACCCCCACTCGTACGTATGAACGAGCGTAGCCAACAAATACATTACCATCTTCTCAGCCAACGGAATACCAGGGCACACCCTTCTCCCCGACCCGAACGGAAGATACTCCACGTTGTTTCCAATGAAATCAAATTTTTCGGAGTTATCATTCAAAAATCTCTCGGGTCGAAATATTAAAGGATTCTCCCAAACATGCGGGTCCATGTGGATTGACCACATGTTCAAGAAGACCCTTGACCCCTTTGGGATTGTGTGCTCTCCGATCGTGCAAGATTCACTCGGATACCTTGGAACGAGGAGTGGCAATGGAGGATGTAGGCGGAATGTTTCCTTTACAACCGCTTCGAGGTAGTGCAGTTTCGATACGTGGGATTCTTCAACGACGTTGTTCGCTCCTACAACATTTGTTACTTCTTGCTGCACTTTTTGCATTATACTCGGGTTGTGCAAAAGCTCGGTCATCACCCACTCGACCATCGTTGCCGTAGTATCGCTCCCGCCGGCAACAATATCCTGTAATCAAAGAGCATATTTTATGTCATTTCAATGAAAGAGAATCACAAAAAGAGTTACATTGTTAGCTTCAAAGAGTATATTTGTCTGACTTTGGATCACAAGAGGGTTTATGCCTATAAAAATGATTAGCAATTTTTTTTCTTCAAATTTGAACACAAAAATTTGAATTTCTCCTATATATTCAAGAAACAACAGAACTAGGGGCACGCATAATAAGCAATAGAGGTTAGCACCAATCAAGCTCGAGTAGCTTGATTTTAATCGATTCCCGACTCAACGATCGAGTTTCAAATCATATCAATAACAAAAGTATACGTGTTGAAGTTTGTTTCGTTATGTTAACAAATCGAGTCCAAACAAGCTTTTACTGAACGGTGTCGAATCTAGCATCGAGTAAATTAAGAGACAGAGGGCAAACCAACAAGAAAATGAAATGAAGGAAAGTGGAGAAAATTACCATCAAAATCGCCTTGATTTGAGTTAAACCAAATGTTGAGCCTTCTCCGAGTTGCTTATCCTTGAGCTCCAAAAGAATTCCCATAAAGTCCTTACTCCTTTCTTCACCCTCCATACCACCACCAGCCGCCATGCTCTTCACTTTCGCATCGATAAAACAATCCAAAATTCGTTCCACCTCCACCACCACACCCCTCATTTCTTTCGCGATTCCCTGAAAATCAAACCTAGCCAAAACCGGAAAAAAATCGGAAACGTTAGGCTTTCCCAACAAATCGACGAGTTTCGAAATATGAACCCGAAACTTGTCTCCAAGCCTGCTTCGCTCCGTGGGGTCCATCTCACCTCCCCAGAGCAAGCTCATCAGCACATGGAGCTCTGTCAGAAAAATGAGTTCGCCAATTTGAACGGGACTCCCGATTTGTGTATCGAGATTCCCGATAAGCTTCCGCACTTCCTCCGTGCGGAAAACGTGCGAAGCCTGGAGGTTGGTGTTGCTCATCATCTCACGAACGAACAGCTTCCGTATGTCGCGCCAGTAGGGACCGTTTGCCGTCCAGACGATGTCGTACCCGCCCGTGGCGACTAGTGCTGCAACCGGCGGGTCCCGGTTCGCGAAAATGGAGTCTTTATCGCGAACTATCTGCTTTATCAAGGAAGGCGAACTTACAACGACACAGAGTTTGCTGCCGAGCCAGAGGCGGTAAATGGGGCCGTACTTGTGAGACAGTAGTGTGAACTGGTGGTGCAAGTTGTGTTTGAGAAACGGGAGGTATCCGAGAATCGGAAGGCCGTATGGTCCGGGCGGAAGTGGTGGCTGTGTTCGTGTTTTTGAGTTGCCGAGTACTACTATCCATGAGTAACAAAATAGGGACGCTAGAAGAAAAAAGAAGGTGAGAGCAGCAAGTCCAAGCTCATATTCCATTATGTTTTTTTCTTTGTTGCGACAAATTAGTATTGTTAAGTGCAAGGAATATATGCTAGAAATAAGAATTATTATATAAAATATGAGGATATCTTTTTCCCCTGTATTGGATACGAAAGAATAAATATGTGGCTTGGAAACCAAACGTTGGAAGATAGAAGACGGCGAGAGCAGTAAGTGCAAACTAAGGGTTCATTATTATGCTACAATTAGGATTCAAACCAGGTTCATTATTACACTAACCACTAGATCATTTTTTTATTTTTATTTTTTTGTGTGTACAATTAATAGAATTTTATTGTCACTAGACATGTGCACATGCGTTGCACGTGTCGTATTAATTTATCTATTATTTCCTAATTATGTATCATGCTAATTGCTCTATGTCATCAAAATATTATTATTACATTTATAAAATCTATAAATATCTTGTTACATTGTTAAATTATGCCAATAAGTAGAATATAATTTTATTTAATAAAAAAAATTGTACTTTGTTTTCTACTTCAATTAACAATATAATTACTTTTCTTAGTGTTTTGTTTAGAATGGTTTTTTTGTGAGTTTTATTTTCAACTCTCACTAATTTTAATGATTATTATTAAAATTTGGATGAAATTTGAATATTTTTCTAAGTGATTATCCTTTTTTCGATTGAAAACTATTCTTTATTATTTATTTATTTCCAATTTCAACGATCTCATTTTTTTATTGACACAAAACCCTTGCGTGTGAAGAGCCGATGAAAATTATAGTTTTTCTTTGTACTTTTATACGAGAAATATTTCTTCTGCAATTTTGTTTGCAATTATTAAAGATTCCTTCTATTTGATATCCTTGTACATATTTTGTAATTGATTTAAAAAAAAAAATATTATGTAGTTTTTTAGTCTAAATTGTTTTAGTTGTTTTATATTTTCTATTTTCTATTTTCTATTGTTGTTGTTGTTGTTGTTATTATTATTATTATTCTGCAAATAATAATAAATGTATATGTCTATTATATATGAAAGAAAGGAGTAAAGAACATCGATTATTCTGCAGCAAGACAATATATAGTCAGGCAGGTGGCCTAGCTCTAGCTAAGAGAGATTCTTTAACTACAAAAGCATCAACCATTTAACCCGCTTTTCACTTCTCTCACATTTTTTACCTACTTCAGCCTCTCTAAGATTCTAAAGTGTCCATTTCTCCCACATTTCTTACATACTCCAGTCTCTCTGAGATTCCAAAGTGTCCGAAATCCTTGTCTACTACTCCATAAGAAAGACTCCAAATCGAAAAGAAAACACATACAATAAAATTTTCAAATAATTTACACATTCTTATTTAGTATAAAATTACTCACCTGCATATTTTATGGCATGACGAATTCTAAATCTTTTTTGATCCATTGAAATACTCCAAGAGATTCCACTGCAAAATCTGAATATTTCAATCCACTTATACTACATGTCTACATTGAAATCTAAAGAAAAAAAAAACTTTTAAATTGCAATTTAAATATATGTTTTAGAATTTATATTAAACACATGATTGTGAGAGAACATTAATGGAAAGAAAGCAAAAAATATACGTAGTAAAATTTACAGTGAAGAAAAGAACATGTAGTTTACCTAAGCAAAGTAATTAACAATAATGGTACTTGATGATTCACTTCTTTAATCTTCAATATCAATTCTACCATTTTTTTTTCTTTCTTTCCATCAGACTGTTTTTATATATAAGAAAATTAAAAAAAAAAAAATTATAATAGGTTTAAGATGACAAACGATATTTTATATTCTGAACACACATAATAACATAATAATACAAGAAATGTTTGTGACAAACAATCAGTTGTTGTGCTAATAAACATGTATGACAAACACTACATAGAAAGTGATATAGTTCACCTATTATGCAGTAACTTCTTTGTTTTTTTCCCATTGATATCCCCACCTACATAAAAAGCAAAAAAAAATAAGACATACAATAAGTATTCATCAGTGTAATCACAGTGTTAAAAAAATTGAAACATAAACAATTAGAAGAAGTCCATCCCTATGTAGAGTAAGAGGAAAGAAAAACACATCGATTTTTTTCCCAGTATTTGAAAAATTTAGTGGAAAAAGGAAAGAAAAAGTAAAAATAAACACCAGAAATTTTGATAATATGTCTCTCTCTATTTTTTCTTTCTTGTGGGAACTAAAAGATGAGTGTTCCCGAATTTTATTGCATTTTCAGTTAATAATTGTGAGTGATTAAAAATTCTGGTGTGATTATCAATTGTGGTAAATGGGTGGACCATTCACCTATTCAACTTCCATTTTTTCACCTTCAATGATTTCTATTTGCCTTTGTTTACAATTACTACAGACTATAAACTACATGCATTTATAGTTATTTTATAGTTAAATGTGACCGAAGCAAGAACTGAACAGACATCCTAGATCATTTTATTTACCAAAATGTTTTACAAATAAATATATTATGGTTAATTAAATGAACCGGTAATCAATATATATTACTGAATCATTGTATATTAAATTAACTCATTACATCGAAATAACATTACTACATTGCCCTTGCATATTTGATCTAATTAGGGTCATTTTTGTCTCTTCAAAAAATGGAAGAAACCACCCCATGATTCCTCCTTTTATAGATAGTATAGATAGATAGATAGATTAACTAATTTAAGTTAACAATGAAACATTTATCTTTTTCTTCTCCTTTTGGGATTATTTGAGAAAATCCCCTCACATGCATTATAACATTAGACTGGACCCTTTTTTTTTTTTTTCCTATCATTTGGAGACAAATTCAATAGTATTTTATTCAACAAATTATATTATTAATAACCTCTTTGACCATTTCTCAATTTATTTAATCTAGTCACGTCTTTCCTAACTACTAGCCGTCTCTCTCATTTCTCTTCTCTTTCCATTCTCTCCACAACCCACGCCCGCACCCACACTCACAAACCCCCCTCCCCCCCCCCCCCTACCAACCCCCAAAACGAGACAAGGCGCTTGGGCTCTTCCGACTCTTCGCTATCCAACGGTTGCCGGAGTCGACATGCGCATCCACGGCAAGGGCGGCGGCGACACCTCGCAGATCTACGCCATCCGACAATCCGTTTCCGAAGATCTCGTCGCCTTCTACCAAAAGTATGTTGGCGTGTGGTGGTGTGGTGATGGTAACGCAAAATTAAACAAAAAAGGGGTGTTTTTTTCTTTATTAGCAGGAAAGCAGCTCATGAAAATTTCATGGTCTTTTAATGAACTTGTATACATAATTGAATTATGCCACTATTTTCTATTTGGAAGATTATGGACAAGAAAAAAGAATGAGGTTTTCGACTTTAGGATTTTTACCTTTGTTATACGGGCCACTATGACGAGACGAATAAATACGAACTGAGAAGAACCAATTTGCTATTATAAGAAACAATGACGGACTACGACCCCCGAATGACGAGCTAGTAATACCGTGGCTCGTATTCTAGTGTAGGCATGACCTGAAGCAGGCCCAATAAGAGAGGCCCAAAACATTTGACTTGAGGGGGGAGCAAACCCTAAAATATTACGTATATACTTGTCTCTTTCGATCACTGACTTGATCGTCGGAGCTTTCCCGCCGGGAACCTCCCCCGGCGTTGCAGGTACCATCATCGGAGTACGGATCAAGGTGACTTGAGGAAGACGGAAGCCCCACGGACTAAATCAGACTTGATCGTCGGAGCTTTCCCGCCGGGAACCTCCCCCGGCGTTGCAGGTACCATCATCGGAGTACGGATCAAGGTGACTTGAGGAAGACGGAAGCCCCACGGACTAAATCAAGTGGCGCCGTCTGTGGGAAGAGTGCTACAATTTCGGAAACACAACTTCCGGGAAAATATCAGATCTGCCCCTGGAAGTCCAGATCTGAGCTATAAACGTAGAGAACAATGGAAGGAGATACCACTGCCCGAAATTTACAAAAGGAATTAGATGCAGCAGCTCGCGATACGCCCACTGTCGATCCATCGTCTTTCTTGAAGGACAAGTCAGGATGCAGCTTAGTTACGCCTGAAAATGAAGGTCGGATTCCCCTCTTCTCGGGTAGCCCCTCTTTCGAGTTCCAGAGTGGCGAAGCTGTTTCGAGAAAACCGGTCACAGCCCCGGCTCAGACCTCCAATGAGCGAACATACACGAGAGACGAGGTGGAGACCATGATCACCGCAGCCATTCGGAACTACACTCAATCCTTACCCCAGGATAACCGGCCTAGGAGAGACCTTAGGCGCTCCCCGAATGAAGGGCGGGCTGAGGATGAGTGCGACAGTTACTCGGAGAATCGAGAAGGCAACAGTCATGGCGTCAGGACTGAGGTGGATAGTCTGAGGCGCGATATGGATGAATTAAAAGCCTTGCGGAATGGTTCAACGCGAGCTCTCGAAGGATCTAGCGCCTTCGCCAGTCATCTCGATAACGACCCCATACCAGCTAATTATCGACCAATTCTGTTCGAGTATAACGGCACATCGGATCCGGCCGAGCACCTAAGTCGGTTCAATAACACAGCATCACTCCATCAGCTCACAGAAGGAGTGAAGTGCCGCGCCTTCGTCACCACTTTAGCCGGGCCGGCTCAAGCCTGGTTCGGTTTGCTGCTCCCTGGGAGTGTACACTCCTTTGGACAGTTTGCTAAGGCCTTCATGAACCAGTTCGCTAGCTCGAATAAGTGCAAGAAGACCTCGTTGTCGCTGTTCAGTATTCGTCAGAAGGAGAAGGAAAGTCTTAGGAACTATATCAAACGATTCACTTCGGCCACTTTAGAAGTCCCCACTACTAGCGATGAGGTGCTTATGGCGGCTCTTTCACAAGGGCTAAAAGATGATGAGTTCTTCCGAGCCCTAGCGCTGGAACCTTCACCCGATTTCGATAATCTGCTCGAGAGAGCATCTAGGTTCATTAACCTGAAGGAAGCCCGACAACAGAAAGTGGAGGAATTTCACCAGACACTGAACGTGCGAGCCAACGAAGCGAAGAAAGGCAAAGAGCCCATGCTACCCCGAAGAGATGCAATGCTTGGCCGAGGTACTGCCCCGGATGCCAAAGGATCCCGATATCAATCATATCAGCCTCTCACGGCACCCTTGTCTCATGTGTTATGCGCAATCGAGAAGAGAGCTGACTTGCGTTGGCCCCGGACCGCTCGAGAAGAACCCCGCCGGAGTCCCGCACTAGGCACCTTTTGTCGTTTTCATAACGAATATGGACATGTGACGGATGATTGTTCGCATCTAAAGGATGAGGTAGAGCGTCTTATCAGAGATAATAAAATTGGGGACTTTGTGAAGATAGACCCTCCCAGAGGACAAAAACGTGAAGCCCAATTCGGAAACCCTGCGCTGGTGTCGCCTCCACCACCAATGCCGAAACGAGGATTCATCCTGATGATCTCGGGAGGGCCTACGGGATGAGATACCCATCGAGCTAGACGACGCCATCTCGGCAACCTCAAGAATAATCATGAAGTTTGCCAGATATCTACACCGAAATGTCGGCAATACCCTACCATTTCGTTTGGACCTGAAGACGAAGTAGACCTCGACGATTTTCATTGCGATCCCCTCCTCATCACAATCAATGTCGGTGGATACGACGTAGCCCGTGCTTTTGTCGATTCAGGAAGTTCTGTTGACGTCATATCTTATGAGTGTTTCCTACAAATGGAACTTGACCTCCCTATTTTCCCCGTCACCACCTCGATATTCGGGTTCACGGGAGGATCCTTGACACCGGTCGGACAAGTTAAGATCCCCGTCACCCTGGGAACACCACCTCGGACTCGTACACAAACAGTTAATTTTGTAATTGTCGAGGGGTCCACCACCTCGTACAACATCGTGATAGGACGACCAATGATGCACATCTTCCGGGCGATCCCCTCGACTATACATCAAAAGCTCAAATTTCCAGTCGACGGAGTAATAGGAGAAGTCCGGGGTGATCAAGCTCAGTCAAGATCATGTTACGTCGAAATGGTTAAAATGGCGGAGAAGGGCCGACGTGATACTTTCGTCAAGGAAGATCTAGGGGACGAGAAGCGCCCTCGAATTGACCCAGAGGATAAGGTTTCTCATGTACAACCCATGGACGAGTTAATGACAATTGACCTTGTCCCCGGCATGTCGAAGCAGACCCGGATAAGCAAAGACCTAGAACCCTCTTTCCAAGACGAACTAGTAGCACTATTGCAATCTAATGTAGATATCTTCGCATGGCAACCAAGCGACCTGACTGGCATCACACCTCGTACCGCTGTGCACAGGCTTAATTTGCGACCCGAATGCAAACCCGTCAAGCAACAGCGGCGACATTTCGGCGTCGAGAAGGATGAAATTATCAAACAAGAGGTCCAACGACTGCTGGATATTGTACATATCAGGGAAATCCAATTCCCCACTTGGTTGTCCAACGCGCTGTTGGTATAGAAGACTAATGGACAATGGCGAATGTGCATTGATTTTAGGGATTTAAACAAAGCCTGCCCGAAGGATGACTATCCCTTACCCCGTATAGACCAGCTCGTAGATGCCACTGTTGGGTGCGAGCTACTCAGTATGATGGACGCTTCACAAGGGTACCATCAGATCCCGTTGGAAGAAAGGGACCAACCTGCAGTAAGCTTTATCACAGCCACATGCACCTATTGTTATGTGGTGATGCCTTTTAGTTTAAAAAACGCGGGAGCCACATATCAGAGATTGATGGATAGAATGTTTCGAGCTCAGCTCGGGCGTAACATCGAAGTCTACGTCGACGACATGCTGGTCAAAAGCAAGAAATGTTCCACACATCTTGCCGACTTAGCCGAAACATTTGCCACCCTTCGCCTTTACGGGATGAAATTGAACCCTGCGAAGTGCGCGTTTGCAGTGAAAGCCGGAAAATTCCTCGGATACGTAGTTAATCGAGAAGGTATCAAGGTGAACCAGGATAAAGTCGAGGCCGTACTCCAAATGACCCCTCCTCGGTCCATAAAAGAAGTCCAATCCTTAGCAGGAAAAGTGGTGGCTCTGGCTCGCTTCATATCACGAATGGCTGATAAAAGTCTGCCCTTCTTCAAAATACTGAGGAAAGCGGCCCAGTTCGAATGGACCGAGGAGTGCCAGCTCGCATTCGAGGCGTTAAAGAGCTCACTCACTCGCCTTCCCATCCTTAGCACCCCTGAAAAAGGTGAAACTTTGTTCGTCTACTTGTCGGTGGGCGACGAGTCGATTAGCTCAGTCCTATTCAAGGAAGTAGGTGGTCAACAGCGACCGATCTATTACATCAGCAAGATCCTCACTAACTCGGAAATTAAGTATATTCCGAAGTCGAAAAAATAGCGTATGCACTGGTCCTCACTACGCGGCGACTTCGACCTTACTTCTTGTCGCACACTATGGTAATCCGTACAAGTTTACCACTCCGTCAAACTCTAGGTCAACCTACAGCATCAGGACGAATTGTTAAGTGGGCAATCGAGTTAGGACAATACGAAATTCAGTATCAGCCTCGGACTTCGGTTAAGGGACAGGCCTTGGCAGACTTCATCCGAGAGACTACTAGGATACCCATTGAAAAAGAGTGGAAAATCTACGTGGATGGGTCATCCACGGCGACAGGAGCAGGAGCGGGGATAATAATCATCGATCCCACAGGGGTAGAAGTTGAATTTGCTATTAAATTACCACGAGTTTCCAATAATAAGGCGGAATACGAGGCCTTCATTCGAGGTATGGAGATCGGTCAGGAACTCGGGGCACGGGTGGTGCGAATAAACTCCGACTCCCAGTTGGTAATACACCAGTTGGAAGGAGATTACGAAGTAAAAAATGATAGAATGAAGGGATATGTGAACAAAGCCCGAGCGGTGCAAGAAACCTTCGAGGCTTGCACTGTGCATCAGATCCCGAGAAGTGACAACCAGCAAGCAGACTTCCTCGCCAAAATTGGGTCGTCAGTTGCCGATTGCGTCGAAAGAAAGATTTCTATCCTCGTTGCCCCCACCCCGACACCTGGAGTCATGGTGATCGACGAGGAGCCCGATTGGCGAACACCTTTGTTCGCGTATTTTAGAGGGGAACGAGCTGGTACAAATAGAGAGCAGCATCGCTTAGCATATAAAGCCAGGCACTTCTACGTGCGACATGGGATATTATATAAAAGGAACTTCACCACGGTAGACGCGAGATGTTTAGGAAAGCAGGAAGTAAAGCACGTTCTTCACGAGGTACATCGAGGAGGTTGTGGAGAACATGGGGGGGCTCGGGCCCTCATACAGAAATTACATCGGGCTGGATATTATTGGCTCGGCATGAAGAAGGACACCCATCAATATGTGCAGCGTTGCATACAGTGTCAGAAATTTGCCCCACTTATCCATAAACCAGGAGAGGAAATGATCATCATGAGCGTCCCATGCCCATTTTCCCAATGGGGAATTGATCTAGTAGGACCTTTCCCCCAAACCACTGGTAGGAAAAAATTCCTCATTGTTGCGGTGGATTACTTCACCAAGTGGGTCGAAGCCGAAGCCTTGTCAAAAATATCAGAAGACGAAGTCATGCATTTCATTTGGAAATATATCTGTTGCCGATTTGGCCTACCCCGGAGCCTCGTGTCGGATAATGGCACTCAATTCAATGGCAAGAAGATTCGCGCGTGGTGTGAAGAGATGAAAATCACACAAAAGTTTGTGGCAGTGGCGCACCCCCAGGCCAATGGCCAGGTCGAATCCACAAATCGGACCATTGTCAACGGCCTAAAGAAAAGGATAGACGAGCTAGGCGGCAGCTGGGTGGACGAGTTACCTTCGGTCCTTTGGTCTTACCGAACCACGGCCAAAGCAGCTACCGGTGAAACACCATTTCGGTTAACCTACGGAACCGAAGCAGTCATCCCAGTAGAGGTGGCAATGGACACACTCCGCATAGCCACATTTGATGAAGAGACGAATGGCGGTGCATTAAGAACCCGGTTAGATGAGATCTTTGACTTACGAGAAGCAGCCTAGTTACACATGGAACGAAGCAAGAATTTGATCAAAGCCCGATATGATCAAGGGGTCCGATCTCGCTCATTCCAGATTGGTGATCTCGTTCTACGAAGAGCTGATGCCCTAAAGCACACAGGAAAACTGAAAGCCAATTGGGAAGGACCATACGTGGTCACAAAGTGTTTGGCTGGCGGAGGATATGAGCTGGCGGATATAGAGGGAAAACCATTGCCACGGGCATGGAATGTAATCCACTTGAAGCGCTTCTTCGCGTAAAAAAAAAAAAAAAAAAAAAAAAAGCTAGTCAGAAAAGTAGAGAAACAACACACCTGTACAGGCAAAAACCATTAATAAACATCCATTTTCCGAGCTGGGCTAGGCCCCGTGGTTTTTTCTCTCCTCATTTGGAGGGTTTCCATGTTAAAAACATCCTTGTGTTATTTATATAAGTTACAACTGAGGCGTTAAATCGCGTATTTCACCGAGGCGTTAAATCGCGTATCATACCGAGGCGTTAAATCGCGTATTTCACCGAGGCGTTAAATCGCGTGTTCCACAGAGGCGTTAAGTCGCGTATTTCACCGAGGCGTTAAATCACGTATTTCACCGAGGCGTTAAATCACGTGTTCCACTGAGGCGTTAAGTCGCGTATTTCACCGAGGCGTTAAATCGCGTATCATACCGAGACGTTAAATCGCGTGTTCCACTGAGGCGTTAAGTCGCGTATCATACCGAGGCGTTAAATCGCGTGTTCCACTGAGGCGTTAAATCGCGTATCACACCGAGGCGTTAAATTGCATATCATACCGAGGCATTAAATCGCGTGTCACATTGAGGCGTTAAATCGCATATTACACCAAGGCGTTAAATCGCGTATTACGTCGAGGCGTTAGTTCGCGTACCAAAATGAGGCGTTAAGTCGCGCGCATAAGCGAGGTATAAAAACCAGGTGTTAAACTAAAATAAAAGTAAGTTGTTGTAAACAAAAGTGGCTTGCCAAGATCAGGCTAAGTCCTAAGTCGATGAGATCAAGGGATGATCACCGATGCGAGTCTAAAAAGAGTTGTTGGTTCAACTCAAATTCAAAAATACTTTGCTAAGTTTACAAATCATTCTTGAATACACATCATCAGGATATAAGAAATCCAAGTAAGCATGAAAAGCAAAACTTCAACAAGCAAATTTCTGTTACATTGAAATGCGAGGAGTGAAATAGATTGTTCAGAACATACAAAGGAAAAATATGAATACATCGCATAAAAGTACAACAGGTGGGAACAAAGAAAAAATTGGCTAAGTATTTTCGAAAGGCTCCACTCTTGCTTCGCCTCGATCCCCGGCAGACGGAAGAGGAGACGGGAGAAGGTCCGACGGTGCCTTGTTGAGATTCGCCATTGCATCAACAGTCTCAACATCCCCAACAAATTCGGTGATGATCACCGAGGAGGTCCCTTGGCGAGAGAAGTCCTCGACGAGCTCCCGATGCACCTGCCTCCACCACTCTAAGTCGAGGTCCTCGTTCACGTCTCCTTCAAAGCCCAATCTCGTCATCCGGCAGATCCTCAGCGAGCTCGTTCTCGACCAGCGAGAACTCGATGCCAGCACCACTTAACCGCTTCCGAACAGCCTTCACCGCTTCCGAAAAGAAGAAGCGAGCTAAACCGGACGCTTGTCGGGTGAACGTCGTTGAACGCCAGAGTCGATCGAAAAAACGACCGACGAACGCCTCCATAAAACGGAGACCCTCGGATGATCCCGGGAACAGCCTATGCCCTTCCTTCACTCCTTCGGTGAAGTTAGTGGATGCTTGCACCCCAGCTGCAAAGAGTTCATTCGAAAGCAGCTTCGCTTTCTCTTCCAAGCTGGCATTATGAGATGCCAACGAATCCTTCTCGGCCTGCAAAACCTTCTTCTCCTCTTGCAGTTTTCTCACCTCGGCAAATAGCCCCTCTTATTACGACTCCGCCACCGCCAAACTCTCTTTCAAAGCTCGGACCTCCTTCCGAAGCTGAGTGACCTCCTTCTTTTGATTATCGTATGCCTCGCGCGAGACATCGTCCCATCCTAGAGGGCCCGAAAAGGCGATGGCGAATTGCTACACATACAGAAAACCCAAGTAAAGTTAGTTGCGAATAAGAAACATAAAGATAAGAACTAACTCGCGCGTACGAAATAAAACCGACCTGCGTGATATTATGCAAAAGCAACTCAAGCCGGTCACATTTACTCATTTGCCCGAAGTGGGCAACATCTCGAGGAAACGCCAAAGCCCGGCAAGCGGCAATGGCGTTCTCTGCATTCTGGCAGAGATGAAGTGCAAAGTTAGGGGGCGGAGATGACCCAACTTGCCCAAGAGACGACCCGACTGGCCCGAGGGCCAAATCGGCCTTTCTCTTCTTCGAAGTGGGCTCTTTTTCTACCACTTCTTCGGCTGAGGAGGGTGGCGGAGAAGAGACCACAACTACAGCCGAGGACCGTCGAGGAGGCTCGGGATCCTCAACGCGTGCCCCACCTCGCGGACGCGAAGTCCCGGCATTCTTCTTGGGGGGCCTCGGCCTTAAAGCCCCTTCCTCTGAAGATCGTTTCTCGGATTCAGCGGCTAAAGGACGCTGAAGCTCGGACGCTTGAAATTCAGGCTCCGGCTCGGACGGACGAGTCGCCGGCTTGTCACCTCAGAACATCCTCTTCATCCTTAAGTCTGTCCGTGGAATTAGGAAAAATGTGATGAGCAAATGGGTGAAATACCAACGAACCTAAAATACAGTTAAATAAAAAACAATAGCCCAAAATAAACACCGAACCAAGACAAAAATTGATATCATGTTTAGACCCACCTAAATCCTCTCGGGTTAAGGGATGAGTGCCGTTGTCATGGAAGTAGAAATGGCGAAGTATCGGTGGAAAACTCGTGAGACTCTCGGGAATACCATAACTCGGTTGAAAATGAACAATCATTTTCAGAAGCCATTCGTCAATCGCTAGGGGTTTTCCCCTCTTCTTCTCGGGCAAGGTGGCGAGCCAAGGACATAGATAAGGAGCGTCAATGGGATTTTTCGCAAAGAAGTAGTGACCCTGCCACCCATCAGTCTTATTGGGCGGCATTAGTATTTTGAAACCCGGGCGAGCCGAGATAAAGATATGGAAGGGGCTGGAGTTTTTCAAAACCATAACGCTCCGTAATCGAGCTGGGGTAGGGATCACGCCCGACCAGGCACAGAGCATGCGGAATCCGGTCATAATGATTATAGCGTGAGGGTGAAATTGGTTAAGGGACACGTTACACAATTGAGCGATCTCGGAGAACCAAGGCGAGATGGGGAAAGAAAGACCGAAATAAAACTGTTCCGAAAACCAAGTGCTGAAACCTGGAGGGGGGTTTAAGGGGCGTTGATCTCGAGAAGGTAAGATTAGTTCGACGTCGGTAGGGAGACCTATATCGCGAACTAAGTTAGCTAGGTCTATCTCGCTTAGAGTACTAGGTCCCCACTGATCGTCCAAATCACGCCCCCCAGATAACGAAGGAGAACCGCTCCTCGCAGTAGACAGAGCATCATCCCTCCCTCTCTTCTTCGACTTTTTCAGAAGCTTGCCCGAAGGGGAAAAGAAGGGCCCTTCCTCCGAAGAAGAAGAAAGGGTAAGGGTAGGATAATCATCCCCTTCCCCGGAACAGCGGCTAGAAGGCATTTTTTGGCCGAAAGGATCGGGAGAGTGGGAAGACATAGATGATCGGAAGAATAAGATAAGGGCAATAAAAGATAAGGGAGAAGAGCAATACATTTGAGAGAGGGTGGACACGGAGGGTAAGAACTCTATTTTGAGAAAGCAGGACAGCCGGAGAAGAAAAACAATAGAAAAAAAAGCACGGAGGTGGAAAAGGAAAAATTTTAGAAAAATGGCAGAGGTCAGATACTTATAGAAGGAGGAAAAGAGGAAAACTTGATCGTAACCGTCTATTCGGACGGACGAGATTCAGAGCAGATTATCTCGAATTCGGTGCAAGAAGCACCGATTGGAATTCCTCAGTAATGACCTAGGAAAGATGGGAAACCAATCATAACCGTTTATCCAAGCGGACGAGATTTAATGCAGATCGTCTCGAATCCGGCGCAAAAAGCACTGATTGAAATTCCTCCATGATGACTTAGGGAACTGGAATCGACCGCACGGGATGTCAGAGCAATTAATGGAGAAAAAAGGGGAGGGGTTGCGTGCACCAACTAGACATAAACCGAAGCCTGAACTCGCACCTCGTACTCCATACTTATAAAACGAGGTAAAGAAAAATGAACTCGTCTTATAAATAAGGAGTAGGGGGAGTAGTTGATACGGGCCACTATGACGAGACGAATAAATACGAACTGAGAAGAACCAATTTGCTATTATAAGAAACAATGACGGACTACGACCCCCGAATGACGAGCTAGTAATACCGTGGCTCGTATTCTAGTGTAGGCATGACCTGAAGCAGGCCCAATAAGAGAGGCCCAAAACATTTGACTTGAGGGGGGAGCAAACCCTAAAAAGGAAACCTTGGAGGCCAAGGTTTCCTCATCTATAAATAGAGGGACTACTAAACACACACACACGGAAAAAAGACACCATTCACTACAATATTACGTATATACTTGTCTCTTTCGATCACTGACTTGATCGTCGGAGCTTTCCCGCCGGGAACCTCCCCCGGCGTTGCAGGTACCATCATCGGAGTACGGATCAAGGTGACTTGAGGAAGACGGAAGCCCCACGGACTAAATCAGACTTGATCGTCAGAGCTTTCCCGCCGGGAACCTCCCCCGGCGTTGCAGGTACCATCATCGGAGTACGGATCAAGGTGACTTGAGGAAGACGGAAGCCCCACGGACTAAATCACTTTGTATATATAATAACAATGTAATATGTATAAATGATTAGTTAAAATTAACATCGGAGTACGGATCAAGGTGACTTGAGGAAGACGGAAGCCCCACGGACTAAATCAGACTTGATCGTCAGAGCTTTCCCGCCGGGAACCTCCCCCG